AAATAAAAACACAATAAAGAGTCTAAAAGCGCTTGGTCAGGAAGGCTAATCCTGGGTTGATGCCATTTACATTTAGATTTAAATAAATCAGCCTATTTATTCTTTCAAACTTTGCTTCAGGTTTTAAATTGAGAATACATGGAAATTAAAAGCCCTAGTATACATGGATATATTTTGAAAAGTTATGATGCCTAAATTCAGTTGACTTCTAAGAATAATAACTGTGATAATTATACGGAGTAAGGAAATGCAGTTATGTTTAATGAAAACAATTTTATTGCAAAAATTACTAATAATGCTAATCTAATCTGTAATCCAGGTAGAGTGAAGTGCGGTCATTAGAATGTGGTAATGTGAATACTGTGCCTTTAGGCTTTTCGGGTGTACACATACACACCAGCTATAAATAGCCATTGAGTCTATTTCCACTTCTTATAGAGATGGAGTATAAAGCTGTAGTCAGAGTCTGATTCCTCACTCTTTATGAATGTTGGAGTAAAAAGCAGCATGTCATAGTGGAAAGCTCTTCTACTAAGAATCCAGACCTCAGTTCTGTCCCCAGATAGGCCTCATAAACAATAAAAAGTCTATTTCTTCAATCATGACATGAGAATCCAACAAGATGGTTTCAGGAATCATTGTAAAACCACACTTCTAAGACCAAGAACTATAATTATACTTTAAGTGACAACTGTCCACAAGCCCATGCCATGGGGTGCATTCTAAGATTGTTGGGTCAGCAGGAGGCCTGCTAAGCGTCGTGGAACCAGCTCCTGGACTGGGTGTGGTTGGACGCAGCTGTGACAACGCAGTGATAACGTTAACCTAATAGAGTGGGGTGGGAGAGGTCCGATGCATGCTGCGATCTTGGCTTACTCTTCTCCACTGGGCTCAAGAGCGTGTCCAATCATAATCTTTTAACCACAAGGGGAATGATTATGCCTGTTCTGATACACACATGTATTTTTATTTGGCAGCTCAAGATTCTTCAGAAAGAGGGCATACACATTTTATTTATAGCCAGGTCTCTTGATTCCTGGCCAGTCTATGTGTTTTATATTAAATAAAATTTTATTAAATCAAGTATTGAGGAAGAACTGAATCTAACATTTGAGTGATGGTGTCCTGGCCATTTCTGTACTTTCTTTTCATTTTATTCTTTGTTGTTGTTTTTGTTCTCTTTAAGGGCTTCTGCGCCTATGTCAGTTTTAATCCACTGTTAAGACTGAATCAACTGCCTTCAAACCATTCTCTAAAAACTGAACTTCTTCCTCGTCTGAAGTCACCACCTTCTCTAGAAAGATAATATATTTAATCCAGCAAATATGTTTCCATTTTTGTTACTTAGGCAATAAACATTTCTGAAGAACTATTATGTGCCAGCCCTAAGTTATAGAGGCACTAAACATAAGGAAGGTGTGCACTGTTTCCTCTGGTGGCTCATAGTCTGGTGGAATCAATCCCCCAACAAAACCTGCCCAGAAACAGAGGGCTGCTTAGGGGAGCCCAGAGCCTGGAGACAGCCTAGCCCTCACTAAGGGGAGGTGAGGAGTCTACAAAGCAGTGCCACAAATAAAAGGGAAGGAAAGCATTCTGAACAAAGAGGTGTGATTATGTGTGTGGGATACATGGGAGCACAGGAAGTGCATGTGGTAGGAACTGAGACTAAAGAGTCTCCTAGCAAAATTAACATGGCTCTTCTCCTCTAGAAAGCAAGTGATAACATGAAGTAAATGCATTTCTATATTGTAGGCTCCCCAGAAATACACTTTTGGAGGAGTTCTGAATATCCTGGTAGTAATTTTTAACATGGTGAAACCCCGTCTCTACTAAAAATACAAAAAATTAGCTGGGCATGGTGGTGCGTGCCTGTAATCCCAGCTACTAAGGAGGCTGAGGCAGGAGAATTGCCTGAACCCAGGAGGCGGAGGTTGTGGTGAGCCGAGATCGTGCCATTGCACTCCAACCTGGGTAACATGAGTGAAACTCCGTCTCAAAAAAAAAAGCCACCTGTATTAGGGTTCTCCAAAGAAACAAAACCAACTAGATGGATGGATAGATGATCTATCTATATCTCTATCTCTCTATCTTTCTATCTTCTACCTATCTATCAAAAGAGATTCAGTATAAGGAATTGGCTCACAAGATTATGGATGCTGAGATGTCCCAAGATCTGCAATTGGCAAGCTGGAGAGCCAGGAGAACTGATGGTGTAGTTCTAGACCAGAAGCTGGCATGTTTGAGGTCCATCAAGAGCCAATGTTATTTCAAGTCATGCCCCAAAGCAGAGAAAGACTTATATCTCAGCTCAACAGTCAGGCAGGAGGAATTCATTTGCTCTGGTCAGCCCTTACTGTTCTAGTCAAGCCTTCAACTGATTGGCTGAGGCCCACCCACCTTGGGGACAGCAATCTGCTTTACTCAGTCTATCAATTCACATGTTAATCTCACTCAGAAACACCCACATGGACACACTCAGAAGAATGTTTGACCAAATATCTGGGCAGCCCATGGCCTAGTCAAGTTGACATGCAGAATTAACCATCATACCCTCTCTTGGTTTTTTAGGCATCCAGGGGTAATCTGCCAAATACTAGGTTGACAGCTCCTCATGACACTTAAAAAAATTCTCACAATACCACAAATTCTGGATAATATGCCAGCATCATTGAGATAATGTCATCACTCTCTTTGATAATTTTTGATATTATTTTCAGAATTGATAGCTAGCTTATCATTATGATTCGGAATATATTGATACGTTCTGGTGTTGAACTGCATGGGTAGCTAAAAAGCCAGGGTGCGTGGGTTTGCATTCCAGCCCTACCTCTCACAAGCTGTGTAACTTGAAGCATCTAGCTTCACTTACCTGTGACTTTGAATCTTCTCTTGTAAAATATAGGTAATAATATTACCCAACTCTTGGTTTTGTGATGCTTAAATCAGTTAATACATGTAAAGATACAGGTGGCAGGAATATAAAATGTACTTAAAAATATATCTATAATGCCTATAGCCACATGTCTTTCATTGTAAAATGTTGTGTTAGTCTTGGTTCAGCATTACCTCAGTATTGGTACTTCTTGAGGAAAGAGCCTTCATCAAAAGCAGTAATACTGAATCTACTCAATTAGCGCACATGTTGGATAGACCCAACCCAAAACGTCAAAGCCTTGAGCTGGCTTGAGAACAGCACCAGATTTAGAAAATGAGTTAAAGAAGATGAAATAGAAAGTAACACATTTATAGAATATGCACAGGCAGTGGAGTATTTGGTTCACTCCACTTCTTCAGTTTAATTTGTTACAGTCAGAGAAACTGTCCATATTTTAAATGGTTCCTTGGCACCTTAACATGAAAAACATTTGCTAACAAACCAGTGTACTCCAACAGTGGGTGGAGATGAAGAAATACCAGTGAGGCCCTTTGTTAGGTCTTGAGCTGTTAGGAGTAACAGGCAGATTGGTTGGTGCTGGCCTATCTTTGGGTGGAAAGCGTTCACCTGTTCAATGGAAAAGCAACCTGGGGTAAGTCACTTGAACTCTGGGCTCTTGAGCCAGTTGACAGAGCAACTAAAATGCCCAGCTCTTCTTTTTCCAGTTGCGTTATATTTTATTTGCTCTAACAACCACATCTTTCAATAAGTAATTTCATATCTGGTTTGGTAAGTTGCTCACATAATGTGAAATATATTTGTAGGGTGATGTGTGAAGAAATCCTTTGATTTCTCTGAGCTTAGTCTCCTGAGCGCCTCCATGTCTTTAGGGAGGTCTTTATTTACAGCTTATGTTGATGTGAATCTTCAGGGCACCCACGCGGCCCTCATATTGCTATAACCTTCTTTTGCTAGCAGTTCATAGGTGGTGGAATGAGATATCTATAACACAGTGTTTTTTATGTTACGATATAACACCATATATAAGGTATATACACAGTACCATGGTTTGCACCGCTATCAATAACACTATTCTCTTTCAAAAAGTAATTATTCAGAATTGCAAGCTCCCATTTCTGAAATTAGTCCACCAATGAAAATGTATTCAGACCTAGCTCTGTGAAGTTGATTGTGTTCTTCCATTTGATCATTACCTTGGAAAAATTCTTCCTGTAACTAAAGAGAAGTGCTTTGCTCATCTATCAAGTGACTAAAACTAGCTGAGGATTAAGTCTGAATAGAGTGATGACTACTTTCGAAAACTCACATAATGAAAAATATTTTGTTGTTGTTATTGTTGTTGTTGCTTGAACTATTTGACAGTTCTCCAATTGTGCTGCCCCTGTGAATTTCTTTCATCCTTTTCCTAACTTGAAAATTTGTGTATGAATTTCTATGCATGTGTAATACATGAATTCCATGTCTTTGAAAAATTTCAGAAAGGAGTATTTCATTGTGCCTGTATGTTTTTATTGTTATTCATTGTTATTAACATTCTTAGCCATGGTTATAGTGGCACATGCTCTTTTCAAATATTATTATAAAGTTAAATGTTTTTAAATTAGGAAGCTATTATGGTGATGCCAGTTTTAGCCTGTTATGAAAACTCTGCACTTTTTCTTTTTTGAGAGCTAAACTCAGAATCCACCGAGCTGTGCCTTCGTGTATTTTCCGTTATTCTTTTCCTTCAGAAAGCATGCCATTCATTTAATACTTCATTACAACTGAACTGCAATATGTATACATGGCGTGCAAAATGAGCCATTTTGTTTTAAAACAGATTGCAGATGAAAGGAAACCATTCATTTCTTGCTTGCTTGCTGTAATTACTAGAGCACTAATTACTCCAAATCACTGACATCCAGGGTCAGTAAGGATGACAACAGAAACATCAAAGGAAAGATGCGGCTCACTTGCTGTGACAGATTTTCCATAGTCCCAGCCGCAGTATTTTTTTATGGCTACTGTTTTCCAGTTTGATGGTTAAAAAACAAAACAAAACAAATAAAAACCAAACATACCCACAGTCAAGATTGCTGAATGTTTACTATTATTTCATTCGCAGTTTGACGGTGAGAACATGTATATGAGCATGACAGAGCCCAGCCAGGACTATGTGCCAGCCAGCCAGGTGGGTTAATTAATCTTCTCTGCCTTGTTTCAAATTGTAATTAAACAAATTCAAAGAGTTGCATTGCAAATGAGTAGCACTATCAGTAACTGCCGCAATCAGGAATAATCATAATTTATAAACAAAGCATTTAAGCCTTGTTTCCAGTTAATGAGATAGAGCTGATAAAACGCCGGAGTTGGCATTTGTTGAAAGATACTACCTTGTTTCCTCTCCAGAACGGCAAGCAGCTGTTTTGCCAGCATGATCTTTCCTAAACAGTTGTTTTACCTTTAGGAAATAAAGTCTTTACAGGTGCAGGTTATTTGTGCCTCTGACTGTAGATGAGTTAATCATTATAAGCTACACGTGTCACAAATAGCTTTAATTATCAACGGCTGGGGCCATTTTCAACAAAATGTAATATTTGTAACCCAAATCCCATGGCCGGTGGGGCCAGAAGGCTGCTTTCAGGATCTCCTGGGGAGGTAAGGAGTGAGAACTGGGGAGGAGTTTTCAGGCCAAAAAACATGATATGATTGAAACCTTTCAAGGGCATCTTTGTATACTTTTCACTGGGAATAGTTGACAAAGTATTTAATCATGAGAAGTGACAACAAAAGTCCAATGAGAATGTAAATGGTTATATTTATAAAAGTAAATGCTTGACTATTTATTTTTAGATACTTAAGACCAGGTCCTTTAATTCAGCGGAATATTTAAAGCAAAATTATAACTGCCCTTGGATACCAGCATAATATCAAATATAAGAACATTGTGGGCAAAAATAAATAAATGAGTAAGTGAAAACAAGGGAGAGTTCACAGGAACATTTTGTTGACATAAACATATTTTTTCTAGAATGGTAAAAACCATGGTAGATTGGAGTTTCCTTTATTTGTAATTCTAAAATAAACTCTTAGTAATGTTCAATGTCTACATATGCACTCATATAGATTTAATAACTGGGAGGAGTTGGGGAATGGGGTTGAGAGGGAGCATAAAACTTTTTTTTCTTCATTAAGGTTCAGTGAATTAAATCTAATGTATATGTTAAGGGTGCACTCTGTGAACAAAATGTCTTGTACTTAACTCAAAACAGAGGCAGGCCTGCATCTCCCTGAACTTTGCATTTAGAAGTCATTAGGATCACTGCCTTCTCTGTCAGATATTCTGGAAACTACAGTGTATTGTTCAGCTGAAAAGGTCATTGTGAAGTTCAAAGATCCTGACTATATTTCCTTCCATTCAACTGAGCTGATCACTCTAAGAATACCTTTGGAAGGCTGAGCTTTGCCTTTAGAATTCTTCCTTAACTGAATTCATTTGGCTAAGTAGCCTCCAAGATCCATAGGTAGTTCTGAATAGGACTGTTTGATTAAAAAATGAAAAATGTTACTATTAATTTTCTTCTAACCATCAATCCCAAAACTGTACTGACAAGTTTAGTATTACTATTAGATTAAAGCAACCTGGTATCATCTCTTTGGTGCCTTTAGGGTTTTGAAGTGTAAGAGCTAATTGAATTTGTTTGAAACAGTAGAAACACAAACTCAATAAATGATGGCTGTTATAAAGCAGCTGCTCCCTCTCAGAGAATCATTATGTCCATCTTAAAGAGTTTTGAATAAAGGATTGGAAATTCAGAACATATACATCATAACGACTTAGCTCCTTAGATTTTTAAATTCAAGTACGATGCATAATATTAAGTCCTTACTGAAATCAAACAACTAACATTGTTTTTCCTCATATGTCAGTCAGGAGTTACTAAGAATGTTTTGAATACCAGCGATAATTTGTAAAGAAGTGAAGAGCCCCAAATACTTTTGTGCTTTTTAAAGATAGAGCAGGCTTGTGAGCCAGAAATAAACACTTAAAAAAATAATGTAGTATGTATGAAAATGTTTTTAGAATGTGCTATTTTAAAAATTAGACTTGTGTAAGATAATACATACTCTGGAGAAAAATAAACCTCACAAATTACATAAGTTGAATGGCCTTAGCTAAATTTTACGCTTAACATTCCTTTTGTTTATTGTAATATGTTATGTTCAAGAATTCATTACCTGGTATCTTTTAGGGAATTTTAATCAATTTACCCCTTTAGGCAAACCATAAATGAGATTTTAGTCATCCTCCAGGAAAAAAAAAAAGTAGTTTTGTTCCTTTTCCTACATAACATCAAACATCTGCATAGTTTAGTAATCCAAGACAACTTGCCTCATAGCATCACTCAACAATTATAATTCCTGTTCAATTTTCAAATCACTACATGCTTTGGGCCTTATAGACTAAGTTGCTAAGTAGCAACATATGGCGCACTACTGCTCCTGTGATGTTGCTGCAAGCAAATAGCATAATTCTAAACTTGAAATGATTTTTATAGAAAGCCAATACTGGAACTGCTCCAGAAATGGAAGTACACTGTAAAAATTAATGATATTCTTTTAGACAGTCCCAAAGGGCTCTTTGGCACTACCTTCTGCATGTATTCTCTACCTCTTAAGCTGGAGTATACAAATCCTTAAAATTTTTGCATATAGTTTTATAATTGATAGGCAGCTTTTCAATTGAATATACCACCCTATAATAAGCCTGACAAGTATGTAATAAAAACCCATAAGATTTCCACTTTGGTGCCATTCTTAGAATACTGTTTTCTCCTATAATAGCTATAAGTTTGCTGGTCACTCAGTTTTTTAATTTAAACATTATTTAACTTTTTTCTTACTCTAGTTAGAATTTGAACCATGCAATTCAAGATTTCTTTGTGTGTTTCCAAACCCTGGCTAAAGGGGCCCTGTTGCTTAATACCTCCGAACTTTGTCCTGTTAGAGCTTGTGGGAGAATGTGGTGGGCTGGTGAAAGGAAGCGGGATGAGCAGCTGGTCAGAAACCCACTTCTTTCTCATTCTGAACTTGTCCTGTTTGATTGAGACACAATATCTAGACCGAAAGGATACAAAGTAGCAACATGTAGGATCAGCAAGTCTAGAGATGTAACTTGCAGCATGAGGACTATAGTTAATAATACGGTATTTGGAGCCAGGCGCAGTGGCTCACACCTGTTATCCCAGTACTTTGAGTGGCTAAGGCAGGCGAATCACTTGAGGTCAGGTTTGAGACCAACCTGGTCAACATAGTGAAATCCTCTCTACTAAAAATACAAAAATTAGCCAGGCATGGTGGTGGGTGTCTGTAATCCCAGCCACTCGGGAGGCTGAGGCAGGAGAATCACTTGAACCCATGAGGCAGAGGTTGCAGTAAGATGAGATCACGCCACTCCACTCCAGCCTGGGCAACAGAGCAAGATTCTGTCTCAAAATAATAATAGTAATACAGTATTTCGGATGTTCACTAAGTGAGTACATTTTAGCTGTTCTGGCCACACACACATAAAACAGGTAACTATGTGAGATGATAGATACGTTAATCTGCTTCATTATATTAACTTTTATCTATATGTATCTCATAACATGTTGCACACCTTCAATCTATACAATAAAATGTATTTTATAAAACATCTGGACCAGTATTTTCTTCTGCCAATGGGCAGAACAAAACAGAGGGGCATTGGGTGTCCCACCTCAGCCCTGACTTTTCTCCAGAATTTTCTCAGCCCATTCAGATATGCATGCTACCGGGTTCTGTTATCTCCTGGTAAAACTTCAGCCCATTTCTCCAGCCCCTAGAATAATTGTAGTGCCTTCTGTAGTCCTTTAGATGAGGCTGTCCTCAAAATGTAAACGTTCATCTGAATTAAATACATCAAAGGAAGCAGAAGAGAAGTCTGGTTCTCTTCATCAGAACTTTCTGCAGCACTAGGTTATTTTATTTGATTTTTCAGTTTTGAATATGTGCCATGACTTTCCCCCATTCTTTCCTCTGCTGTGGCAGTTTCAAGAATACCTTTTTCTGCCAGGCATGGTGGCACATGCCTGTAATCCCAGCACTTTGGAAGGCTGAGGTGGGCAGATCACCTGAGGTCAGGAGTTCAAGACCAGCCTGGCCAACATAGCAAAACCCCATCTCTACTAAAAATACAAAAATTAGCTGGGCATGGAGGAGTGCACCTGTGATCCCAGCTACTCCAGAGGCTGAGGCAAGAGAATTGCTTGAACCCAGGAGGCATAGGTTGCAGTGAGCCAAGATCACGCCACTACACTCCAGCCACGGGGACAGAACGAGACTCCATTCCAAAAAGAAAAAAAAACAATGTCTTTTTCCATGGCTGCCTGTTCATTCATTCTGTGTTTTCCCCCAGTACCCTGGACTCAAGGACCCAGCTCTTCATTTGCCTGCCTCAGTTGGCAAAAGGACTGATCTTTTTTATACAGGAAATAATCCTTAAATATTAAGGAAGAATTAGAAGATTTTACTGGCATCAGGTTATAGAGAAGCTCAGGTTACTTGATTGAACCAGATTTTTAATAAATCACTTCCTCTTGGACCTTGGCCCTTGCTCTGCTAAACCATTTCCTTCTGTTTCGTTCCCCCGCCCTGCTTCCTTCATTCTCTCTCTCCCTGCCCACCACCTTCCTGCTTTCCTTCCTTTCTTCCTTCTTCATTCCGTGAACAGTTATCCTTTAAGTTTAAACTATTTTTTGTTGTTCATTCTGAGCATTATAGTAAACCCTAAATATAAAATATACTGACCCAAGATCATATGTTAGAGGATTCTGAAATTATGAGCAGTTTTCTCTCTCCCCACTCCGAACTCCCTCTGGAATTCTGTCTCTTACTTGATCTCTCAAATCTCAAGATTAAAAATAAGAATGATAAAATATAGCAATATTATGTTTTCCTGGAATCAGTTACAACTAAGCATTTGACATGCAGTTCATAAGGTACATTTTGAATATAAAATTGAAGAGCAAGTATATATCCTGGACAGCTTTCATGTGAATTTCAGGTTTCATTTCTAACTCCACAGGGTACCCGTCCCTGATAGTAGCTCAAATTCAACATATCGGTTCATCAAACCATAGCTCATCAACCTCCCACCTGCTTCCTCACCCCCAAACTTCTCTTTTTCCTATATGGCCTAAGTGTTACCACCACCTGTCCAAACGCTCACGGCAGAGACTTGGGGAGTCTCCCTTGTCATTCAGCCTTTGATTAATTCCAGATAGTTTGATTCTACTTTTTGGCCCAACTTTTGAATCCATCTCCTCTTTTCCAGCTACACAATTTCTGCCTTAGTTCTAGGCTTCACAGTTTCTCAGGAGCTCATCTTACTTCTCTCATTTCCTTTTCCTCATCTTTGCTGAATGATACACACCTCAGCACCTCGCCATTGTCTACAAGGCTACTTTATTGTGGTGTGTATTTGTCCCTGGGTGGCAGATGGCACACTGGTATCACCAGGGATGTCCTTATCTCGCTCACCTGATTGTGAGCTCCTGAAGGTAGGGCTCATTCTTGTTTCTGTCTGGCTCTCCTGTGCCTGGAATGTCTGACATATCAGAGGTATGCAGCATTGTTTGTTGAAAGATGATGAACAAATCAACTAAAATATTTTGTGTATATTTTTAAATCATATAAATACTTAGAGTCTTACATTGCAATGATTCTTTTTTTTTTTTTTTTTTTTCTGAGATGGAGTCTTGCTCTGTCACCCAGGCTAGAGTGTAATGGCATGATCTTGGCTCACTTCAACCTCTGCCTCCTGCCATCATGCCTGGCTAATTTTTGTAGAGATAGGGTTTCACCATGTTGCCCAGGCTGGTCTTGAACTCCTGACCTCAAGTGATCCTCCTGCCTTGACCTCTCAAAGTGCTGGGATTACAGGTGTGAGCCACCTCACCCTGCCCCCATTGCAATGATTCTTGACCCTGCATTGCAGACATTTAGCAAACCCAGCCCTGTCCTGTCCATTGCAATAGACAATGTCCTTTATCTGCCTGCCAGTGCCCTTATGTATTAACAGGAGCTTCTAGCACTCCCTCCTCCTTGGAGAATTATTTCAAGTGCAAGACTCAAAGAGTTAACATGATAATAAACTAGATAATGACAGTCAGTGCTTGTTACAATAACATGCTGTTGTTTATCGTCAGGAATGCAATGTATTAGAAAGAGTAGTATGCTCCAAATTTCTTTTTGTACAATAGTCTCTTGAATCTACTGTTAGAATTATGCTTTAAGATTTATAAATATATTAATGACTCTCTATTTTTTTAATTTCCTGTTTTCCTAATGAGAAAATTCTCCAGGTTAGAGTGTAAATGAGGTATGACAAAAAGGACCTAGAAAGTATATTTTTAGAGTACTTTCAAAAAATAATCTCTTTACTGTGGGCCATAAAGTCTCCATGATCGTGATATAAGTTTAAACTGTAAATTAGACCAATTCCTTTTAGACTGGTTCCTTTTGGCAGAAATTTCAGAAGTAACATTAACTTGACTTTTTGACCTTTGACCCAATAGAATGATAAAGCTGCCATGCTCTGAGTAATCAAGTTAGTCTAACAAAGTCTGGCATCTTAACAAGCCCAGACTAGTTACTCAAACCAGTCTTCAGTGTAACATTCAAATGATTACTCTGTGCAGTCCCGGAGGTATTCATTACAGACAAAATTGCTCTTGTTGCCTTGCATACAAGCTGAGTTTTCAATGGGAAATGAAAGGATGCCTGGAAAAATAGGCCACCTAATTAAGTTAAACTACTCTAGCATTTGGCTTGACATCTTCATTACTCAAAATTAAAAAGATGCTTCACTTGAGCACACAAGTTACTATTGTTTATGTTGTTTTCTTCCTAAATTGGCTTCGTACTGGAAGTCTGTTTTTCAGCATTATATCTTGAAATAGCTCACATATTTCTTACGGTTTATAAAAATGTCTTAATGGCTGTATGGATACTGAATACTGGCACCATCCAAATATATATCTTAGGGCTTAGGATAGTCAAACACACATTGGTCTTTCTACATATTTTGTTGGCCAACCACATTGATGTTGCTGAACTCTAGGTAATTCTTGACCCACCCTGCCTTTATTATTACTATTATTTTAGTTGGGTATTGACTCCATTAGCTATAAATGATCATCTACATGAAAATATGAATTCCTTAAAAAAAGTAAATAGGCCATAACATTTAAACTGAAATTTATTTGTCCAGTAAAAGTGTTTTATGTCAACCTTGCCAGCAAAGGAGCTATTTTAGGAACATTTTAAAACATAAACACATGTAGAGCACACCATCTACTGATTGCCAGTTTCCACTCACTGACACTAATGAGGCTGCTGACAGGTTAAATGTTGTGTATCATATACATTTCCAAGCTGTGGGACCTGTGAATATAAGGCTCATTTTTTATTTGTTGCTGGATAGACATGAGAATTTTAGAACAATTGTCAAATAGTATGTTTTGTCAAGTATTAGGGAAATGTATTTCAGTGGCAAAAATTATAAAAATATCTGAATGGAATAGGATTAGTGGTAAAAACAGATTCACAAAACTTGCACTCCATATGGAGCATGGTTTACTCAGTGGACAGATGTCAAGTGATGCCAGCATATTTAGGTATTGGGGGGGGGAATTGTGGCACTACTGCACAGCCTGACCAGTTGTGTGGTAGCGTTTGATACATTTTGAAAGCAGCCATTTGACTTGTTTACAATTATATTTTCAACAATTTTTTTCTTTAGCATGTGAATAATTATGAAAAACTAAATGATCCTTCCTGTTAAATTTTGTAATTATAACACTTGATATTCTTTTCTGATGATGCATAATAAACCTGTCACTAAAGAATGTCCTCCAAAGTAAATACAATATTTCAATTTAAGAATAGTAAAGTGTTGAATAATGTCATCTGTCTATGCTAGCTCCATTTCCAACGTGCTTAAGATTGTTCTAAAGAAACACTAAATTTTCGATATGTCGGTATGTTAAGTAGAAGCAGTTTTGCCTATTTTTACTGTAAAAAAACGATGGGGCTTAGAAAAGCTGAGGTGTTTTCCACCCACCTCAGTGTCTTCTCAGACCTCCTCCTGTGTATCCTCACCTGCCATCTCAAACACCTTTGAAAAAGTGCCAAGTTTCCCTTTGCAGTTTCAGTTCCTCAGTTTGGGAGCAGACTAATCTAGACTTCCCAGAAACACAAAGAGGGTTTTAGTTTAATCTTTATCCGTATCTGTATTTTTTTTCTCCCGTGTTCCTTCTGATCTATATTATTTTATAGTTTGAGTATTTAAAAATGTAACTATAGCCCTAATGATTTGAAATTAATTGGTGGCTATCTTGGAAAATGTTCTCCATATCCTTTGCTGTTCATAAATTAGGATAATTGATGCTGTTGGTAGCAAAGACAAACAAGTGACTTCTAAGACCCAGCATCAGATTATTCAAATGTAATAGCCTGATCTGAAATTCCCAAGGGCTCTCATGGTCATGATTTGAGACCAGTAATGAAGGCTTTTCTGTATGCAACTGGGCCTCCTAGCATTTCAGGAGAGGCCTTCCTTCAAGAACTAAGCCTACTGTTTGTTGTTATTCTCCAAAATCAGAAAGAGAG